CAGCAATATAGAAAAATATTCGAGCGTATATATACGACATCGTGATGCATGTGCATACATACACGCGTACACGGACACGCGGTGTTAGAGAAACGGAAGTCCTCATGGTGGACGCGCGTGTGCCGGGGTGCCAGCTACCGGCACCCGCCGATGTTCGTTCCTCACGTGTGCTCCTGGAAACGCGGCCGAGCGACCGTGTGCGATCGCCTGCGTGCGTGGATTAAATCTGCAAACGACCCGACGCCATGTCGATCACGTAAATCGCCATTCGGACCCTTCCAGGGTATTTAAATCAAACGAATAGGTGCTATATCGATCATTCCACTCTTGGTTCGTTGTCACTTGAGGAAGAGAATTTTATAGGGGTCCTTGGACTTTTCGAAATTTAATTTCGATCCTTATTTTACTTTTCAGGTATTCGGAGATTAGGTGGTTGATTAGGGAAGTTTGGGGGATATTTATAGGTGAGTGTAGGTGGAATGTTGGAAATTAGAAGTTTCTTAGATAGGAAATTCGAATTCTAAAATTAGAAATTTGGAAGTCTCGGAATGAGAATTTGAAAATTAAAAATTTGGGAATTTTGACATCCCAATTTTAAAATTGGAAATTTGGAAGTTTAGACATCCGAATTTGAAAATTAGGAACTTGGAAGTTTCGAAATTTGAATTTAAAAATTAAAAATTCGGGGATTTTTAAATCCCAATTTTACAATTGGAAATTTGGAAATTTAAAAATTAGGATCTTGGAAGCTTCGAAATTTAAATCTAAAAATTAAAAATTCGGGAATTCTGAAATCCCAATTTTAAAATTAAAAACTTCTCATTTCCTATATCCCCATTTCAAATTTAAAAGCTTCGCGATTTCAAAATCTCTCGAAATATTAAAATTTCCAAATCCAACTCGAACCTCTTTAATTTCAAAAATTAAAACCCGGTACTACAAGAAAATTCGAAACGAAATAATTCCGAATTCCAATCTCTTTTTCTTCCATTAATTACCAGTCTTCACCTCAACACCAATGATCACGAATTTTAAACCGTATTGCCTTTAAAATTCCCACCTACGTTCCACCCACACACACGCAGACCCAGCACACGATCAAACGGACAGCTGGTCCACGCACACGACACGCGTCCGCCGCGTGTACCCGTATACACGTATGTACATTGATATACGTACGTATGTAACTCATACGTAACAAATATATATATAGATATAGATAGATATATAGGTATATATATATGTATAGATATATATATGTAGAACAGTCAATAACCAGTCACAAAGTACCTTTTAGTCGAGTTTAGCGAGCTTCTCTCTACGCTCGGGCTCAGACTGAAACAGAGATCATCACGCGTCATTTTCACGCGACATTAGGGGCTTGCACGCGGCTTGCAAGTCTGCTTGCAGCTGCACGCGGCCATCGATCATCGATCCCGTGGATCGCTCGAAAATTTCCGCTCCTTGCTCTTCCGGATCTCCTTCTCTCGATCCCCTGTCGATCCTTTTTCCTCGCATCGCCCCCCTACCTTCCCCCTCCATCTCGTCAACCTCTGCCCTATCGAACCGGGGACACTGACCTCCGAATTTTTTAATTTAAACATTTTCTTTTTTATTGGTTTATTAAAGGGGAATTTTTTCCAAACCGTGTGCGTAGTTATATCGTGTCGAAACGGATCGAGCTTACGTTCCAAGGATTTTCGTTTCGTCCAAGGACCAACGTTCGTTTCTTGGACGTCCTCGCAGTCCGTTCGACTGGTCGAAAAGTCGAGCCCCACTAACCTACTTTCGAGCATCTCGTTCCTAATTTAAAAGTATCGCGTTCGAATCGGACAATCGGACTCATCGACGGCCTTCGTACCCTTAAATCGACGATAAAAATCGTGGTGAAGATTGTAACGTCTACGCATCGCGCGTTTGGTGACATTAACAATAATGATTTCGCGAGTTTATGAATTTCCTGACTATTTTTGTTGAAGATATAACTAGATATCGCGAGCAAAGATGCATTATACAATTTTTGGAGAAGGAAGAACTATGGAGATTTTACAAAAGTGCATCGAAATTTATAATTACAGGGAGCTGTTTATTTTTATTTTTATTGATCTAGTAGGCAGATGAAGAGCAATCTAATTTCTGGACAGAAAGAAAGTGGAAGCAATTTTTCCAATTTTCCAAAAAATTGACAAGACACCCTACACCTGTAATTGGCCAATTTTACCTCTTTTATTTTGCCAATATATGTCAAGATATTACAACTGAAAAGTAACCTTGCAATTTCTACAGAAAAAGAAGTTAGCATTAATTTTCCAATTTTCCGAATTTTCAAAAAATTGTGAAAATCTTACACCTACAATTGGTCAATTTTATCTCTTTTATTTTCCCAATATATGTCAAGATTTTGCTACTGGCCAGTAATCTGCCGATCTTTAAAGAAAAAACGTCATAAAGTAAAAACAAAGAGAGAGAAAGAAGAAAAAAAAAAGAACGAGTATCGAGCAATTTCGAGTCACAATTAGCCTACTTTTCGCGAGATTATTCCATCAATTTTCGCATCGTATCGCCTGCTCGACTGGCTCGAAGTGGGTTAGCGAGGGTCGTCGCGACGCCCGAGGATCGTTCTCCCGGCTCGATTCGCGGCCTGTCCCGCGGGGATCGAGATCCAGCAATCCCCGGTGATCGATTTACTTACATGATGCCTGGCTGAGCTCAGTTTGGGTCTATCGCACACTGGACATTCGAGGCGCCAAATCGCCGACGATGCACTCGAGCCCGGCGCACGGTGCAACGAGGATGCACATTAAAAACGCATAACAGCCCTGTGGATGGGGTGGAGGGAAAGAACACTTCCGGGAATGGAGTGCATGGGAAGCCGCGCGAAGAATCGATGACGCTTAGGTACACCGAGATCGTGTAACCGTGAATAAATTGCACGCTTTTTCGGTCACCTCGATATCCAGATGTTCTGGTGAAACGTAATTATCCTTACAATTTCACGTGGCGAGTACAGAACCGGGATATCTAATCACCAACGGGCTGGGGACAAAATTTAGGAACAGTGAGTGTCAGAAAATTTAGAACTAATTTCGCTAATTTCGCCAATTTCGTTATTTTCCGATAATAAAAATTTCAAAAAAAAGGCACGTGTATTAAATGACACTTTAGATGGATTAAAAAAGCGAAAAATTTGTAGGTTATGAGAGTAAAAATACCCGATTCGGGAAACGTAATAATATTAAAGAAACTAGGAATTGAAATGATTTGTCAACAGAAAGTTACTAGACACTATACACTACGCTATACAAATTTGTCACGCATAAAAATCCAAGTATTTACGAATCTAGTAAATTTTCTAGTGAAAATCTAGAAAATTGTATTATGGACGAATAAAAATCGTTGGAAACCAGTCATCGAAGTCACACGAACGTTTCTGTCGCTCACCGTGCCGCGAACACCACGAAAACTCTGCGTACTCTATGACGTAAGGTCGCCCGGAAAGCGCGGGAAATTCAAACGTGTAGCGTCGCAAGACCGCAGCGCCGAGCTCGTTTCGCCGATGGACAACGCAGACCGCGATCGTTTCGTCGACGACCGCTGTGTTGCAAGCCAGCTAAAGTGGCAACGGAAGCAAAGGGGACCGTTCCACCTTCCGGCTGTCGCTTCCGGCGTTCCTCGAGGGACTGTCGCGTTTTCTCTCACGTTGCTCGTCGATGACGTTAGGATACTCTTATTAGTGAACTCGTCAGGCAAACAAGCGGACAATACTGAAGCGCGAGAGAGACAGGGACAGAGATCTTGCTCCGAGATCTTATCCTACTCTCTGCTGTGGCAACTTCCGGGACTGACGAACAGAAAGGCAGAGAGAAAACTTGGGAAAGTTAGATGTTAGGGGTGAGACAGGTGTCAAAAAAGGGTGGAGGCTCGAGATAACGCAATACTCGTCGGACAGTCTCTGTGTTCTTTGTGTCTTTAGCCGTATTTCCGGTCTAGCGAGTGTGCATTCCGGTATGCAGAGTACTTACAGTGGACTCCCCATAATCAAACGCTACGTTAAAAGAAAACTCGCTTTCGAGATATATTTTTTCCTATTTTTCTCTAAACGGGATCGTTAAGAATCTTTATGGGAGAGGGAATCTTGACACATGGCCGCCATTTTGGGACAGCGTTCGCGATGCAGAAAGGACGGGAAAAATCAACACTAAACCTAGCACAGTCTAAATCACCAAACTTTCATTAAAAATTCCGCGTTTAATATCATCTTAATCGCCTTTATGATTTTTCTTCCAATAGTATAGTCATTTTCTCAATACCGCCTGTTATTTCGATTTTTAAAGCTTCTTTTCCTTTTCACAGGTTATTTGACAGTGGTAGGTTTAGTGTTAATGCGGATGACTGTCTCTTTCGACACTACTTTCGAGATGTAGTCGTTTCTATATTGCACAATTTTTATTCACCGTAACGCAAAGCAGGCGTCTTTTCATTTTGAGGTTAGAATTCCAATCTTACGAAGAACTGCGTATAAATTATACGGACCGATCTCGTACAACACAGAAACGGCTAATTCGAGGGTAGTTCGAGTGAAACGAGTGTCTGCAGGAATTCTTCCCGACGCTTTTCTGTCACATAACCTCCGGAAATGGCGTCCACGTGTTAAGATGCCACAAATTAGCGCTCGCTGCCAACATCTGGCTGATGGAGGATCTCGCTATTCTCACAGAATTTAAAAGTCTCTTTTGGTATGTACATACAATATCTGATCTTATTTTAAACGAATTTCTTCGAAATTGAAAATTCTTAAAAATTTGTACGCCTTCAGGGACGTACACGAGCAGACAAAAGTCTCGGAAAAGGTATCAGAACGTGGTGAGATCCTCCATTTGGAGGACCGTGGCAGCCATTTCGACAGGCGGTCTCCAGCAGCCATTTTAACGATTCGAAAGGTGATCGCGGACTTAAGTACGAGAGATCTCGATAAGAGGGCGCTGTTTGTGGGCACGTACCCGTCTGCGAGTGCGGAGAGTCCATTCCACGGTGACCATCCTCGGGCCTGAGCACCGGCGAGAATGTCGGCGCACTCGACACGGAAACCGTTGGAGGCTTTTCAGTCTTGTCGTTCCTTATGAGCTGATGCACCGGTGGTGGGCCTGGAAAAAGAATTGCGAAATATCAAACACTGTTCCAATAATAATTAAATTTCTTATATTAAGTCTACGATTTTAGGGACTTAATTAAAGTTAAGAAGGTTCGAACTACTTTCTCAATTTTGGAAATTTATTTGAGCATGAAAGAGGGGATAAGTGGAAGCTATTTTTGACAGTTAACACGTTAAGTGCCACGCCAGTCCTCAGAGATCGACGTTAGTATTTCCGTTCGGGCCTGATGGGCCTCAGGGACCGGCCCAGACTAGGACCAAAAGGTGCTAACTTTTGGTGTTAAATTCTTCGCCATCTTTGAACCTAAAGATTCGAAATTCCTGTTGTAACAATTAGTACAATATCTCCGAATTTTAGAACTCTCGGAGAACACTTCACCCGTCACCAGTGGCCCACTTGACGACCGAATCTGGGCCTGAACGGAACGGCAAGCAAAACGGGCTGGGCACTTAACGTGTTAAGGGGTATGTAGGGGTAAGAAACACACAAAGTTGAAGATGCTGTTCTAATACCAATTAAATTTATCATATCAAAGTATAAAAATTGTTAATTTCTTTCAGAAACTTAAATAAATTTTAAAAAGATTCCAGTCATTTCTTTAATCTAAAAAATTTAGTTAGTATAAAAAGGGAAAGCTGTTTTGAAAGATAACGGATGGCACAATTCTAAAATTAATATTAACCCTTTGCACTCGGCGATTTTCTCGTTATAGGAAAATAGTAATTCGAAGAATTTCTGCCATAAGGTGGACGATATTTTTAAAATAATAAATAAGAAATCGTATGCAATTTAAAACGTAGAATTATTCCATGCATCTTTCGGTAATTGTAAATTTGATATATTAATTACCATCCATCTTTAGAATCTGATTAAATGGCGACTGAGATGTCGAGTGCAAAGGGTTCAAGATTTAATTTATCGCTTCACTCCCGATTAAGTAAACTAAATTAAAAGTCAAACGTCACCCAAAAATGTTCGAAATTCGCACGAATGTAAATTACGGAAGAGGGAAGTTTCTTTTAAAAGTTAAGAGACACATGGGGTGGAATAACGCGTGACGTAATGTCAGAGATTCGTGGATCGAAGATAGAGAGGAACTTGGTTTGAAATTTCAGCGAGATTTGTATGGGTAATCGTTCGGAAAAAGTAGGTCCCGTTTGTTCTTGTTTTATTCCGTTTGATACGCGCGTCTTAGTGCATGAGATTACACTGGGAGCTGACAGAGAAAAGTAAACTCCGAGGGGGAAACAGGCTTCCTTATCCCACCCTTGCGGTTCCTATTTCATATTCTTCTGCATCTGCATTCAAACGAGCTGACAAAGAAGGTAAAAGTATCTTCCTTTCATGAAGATATTCCTGTCTTCTTTGAATATTCTGCTTGGAAATTCTACCACGAATTAAATTCTACGAGCCACCCTTCGATTATTATACCAACGAAAACCCCAGATTCATCCCCTCCACTCGCAAATTTATAATAAATCGTGCACAAGCAATACATTTATCACGTGACAAAATAAAATGTATTTTTCCTTCCAATTTTCTTTTTAACAACCCCTTACTATTACCCCTAATTCAAATAAATTTTGTTTATTAATTACTTTGCCAGTTATTTTACTGATACGAGAATATTCGCGAATATTCGGTAAAAAAAAATCGTGCCCCAACTTTCATGGGGTCCCTGTAAAGAGGAAACATCCCTCTATGATCTCACTACAAAATAAATGGGAAGAAAAAATAATCAAGCTCCGCAGTGTCCTTCGATCTTGCCAAGGTTCCGAGAAACAACTACCCCAATTTTTCATTTTATTTTTCGAAATAAAAAAATTTTCGAGATTCGACTATTAGCATGTGTCAAACTAGAGACTCGAAGCTTTAAAACGAGCCCAACTTGAACACCCTATCACGTTCCTTCGGGAACTTGCGGAATTTTAAAGATCGACGAGATTTTCATCCCTTAATTTCTCTGCAGGGTGTGTATGTAGTCCAAATTTCGGTAAAAATTTGCCCAAATCTGTACTGTACTGTATCACGAGAAGAATTAATTCGACAGTCGAGGATTTATTTCCACGATATAGAAATCTCCGCTCAGAGCCACCCCCACCCCGCGTCCTTGGCACCAAAGACACCGGGGACTTTTGCAAAATGTCCATCGGCGAGGGAAGAATGCGAGGGTTGGAGAAATAATAATAAGAAGAATAAATCTGTTTAGCGGATTTGCATGCAGGCTGGAGCCGGGAGGCGGTCGTTCCGCGGCAATAAAATTAGCTTCGTTCACGGGGGCACCGCGATATTTACGCCGGTCGTTAATTTAACGACAATACAGTCAATCAAGTGTCCCGCGGCCGCTATAAAGGCAACGTATGTATGATAAAAAGGGAGCAGCCGGGGGAAACGGGGTTGGCCGTGGTCCAGCTATGCTTATTGCCGGAATTTTTCCTGCACCCCGTCCCTTCGACGCCCAAGCCCCGGTCCACGTCGCGTCCCACACACACGGCCGAGCCCGCGTGCGTGTGCTCGCGTGTGTACTTTGCCCGAGAAAGTGGTCATTTTATTCCGTCCGTAAATTCCGTCTATCCGCCGCCGTTCCAGCCCCCCGAGCGCAAAGAGCCCGAACTTTCGCGCTAGGAAGTCTTAACGTTCACCCCGAACCCCTCCCAACTCGTCTTCTTGCTTTCTGACTCGTACGTCCGTATTTCTTGCCTCGTATCGCTCGAATATTTCTGCTTCTTGCGCTAGACGAGGGTTAGGACGCTGCGTTCGCTTCGCGATGCTACACGGGGGTGGTTCTTGCTGCGAGATGCTTCCAGGTGGGTTGGGGTTAGGGTTCGCTGCGAGTTCCATGATAGCATTTTTGGGAAACGAAGTTAGCTTCGTTGCAGAAACGTTTCGTGTTGGGATGCATTTGGTTTGGCCGCGAAATTTGTGGGACGTGGGATTTTGAGGTTAGGTTGCTCGACGTTACGAGTTTGGTGGAAGGTGGTATCTTTTGAAGCATGGAGTTGGTAATTTTGTATTTGAAATGAGACTTTATATTAATTTGGGAATAGAGTATCGTAATACGATATTTGGCAAATAAATTGTAATAAAAAGAAGGGTTATGTATAGGTGCTTTGAGGTTAGGAATTTGACAAAAGGTAGAATTTTCGCACACACAAAGATGGAAGCTTTGTATCAGAAATGAGACTTTAGATTGATTTAGAAATAGGTTATGTAAGTATTAAAAAATTAAAAACAAACACCAATTTCGAAATTTTGGAATTAAAATTATTAATATTAAATATGTTACCGAAACTTCCATTTTCTACTAGGAATATACCGATTTTATAGCAATCTATCTATATATAGTGTCCTATATTTTATTATATATATTTCTTAAAAATTAAAAAGAAACACCAATTTCAAAATTTTTAAATTAAAATTATTAATATTAAATATGTTACCGAAACTTCCATTTTCTACTAGGAATATACCGATTTTATAGCAATCTATCTATATATAGTGTCCTATATTTTATTATATATATTTCTTAAAAATTAAAAAGAAACACCAATTTCAAAATTTTTAAATTAAAATTATTAATATTAAATATGTTACCGAAACTTCCATTTTCTACTAGGAATATACCGATTTTATAGCAATCTATCTATATATAGTGTCCTATATTTTATTATATATATTTCTTAAAAATTAAAAAGAAACACCAATTTCAAAATTTTTAAATTAAAATTATTAATATTAAATATGTTACCGAAACTTCCATTTTCTACTAGGAATATACCGATTTTATAGCAATCTATCTATATATAGTGTCCTATATTTTATTATATATATTTCTTAAAAATTAAAAAGAAACACCAATTTCAAAATTTTTAAATTAAAATTATTAATATTAAATATGTTACCGAAACTTCCATTTTCTACTAGGAATATACCGATTTTATAGCAATCTATCTATATATAGTGTCCTATATTTTATTATATATATTTCTTAAAAATTAAAAAGAAACACCAATTTCAAAATTTTTAAATTAAAATTATTAATATTAAATATGTTACCGAAACTTCCATTTTCTACTAGGAATATACCGATTTTATAGCAATCTATCTATATATAGTGTCCTATATTTTATTATATATATTTCTTAAAAATTAAAAAGAAACACCAATTTCAAAATTTTTAAATTAAAATTATTAATATTAAATATGTTACCGAAACTTCCATTTTCTACTAGGAATATACCGATTTTATAGCAATCTATCTATATATAGTGTCCTATATTTTATTATATATATTTCTTAAAAATTAAAAAGAAACACCAATTTCAAAATTTTTAAATTAAAATTATTAATATTAAATATGTTACCGAAACTTCCATTTTCTACTAGGAATATACCGATTTTATAGCAATCTATCTATATATAGTGTCCTATATTTTATTATATATATTTCTTAAAAATTAAAAAGAAACACCAATTTCAAAATTTTTAAATTAAAATTATTAATATTAAATATGTTACCGAAACTTCCATTTTCTACTAGGAATATACCGATTTTATAGCAATCTATCTATATATAGTGTCCTATATTTTATTATATATATTTCTTAAAAATTAAAAAGAAACACCAATTTCAAAATTTTTAAATTAAAATTATTAATATTAAATATGTTACCGAAACTTCCATTTTCTACTAGGAATATACCGATTTTATAGCAATCTATCTATATATAGTGTCCTATATTTTATTATATATATTTCTTAAAAATTAAAAAGAAACACCAATTTCAAAATTTTTAAATTAAAATTATTAATATTAAATATGTTACCGAAACTTCCATTTTCTACTAGGAATATACCGATTTTATAGCAATCTATCTATATATAGTGTCCTATATTTTATTATATATATTTCTTAAAAATTAAAAAGAAACACCAATTTCAAAATTTTTAAATTAAAATTATTAATATTAAATATGTTACCGAAACTTCCATTTTCTACTAGGAATATACCGATTTTATAGCAATCTATCTATATATAGTGTCCTATATTTTATTATATATATTTCTTAAAAATTAAAAAGAAACACCAATTTCAAAATTTTTTAATTAAAATTGTTAATATTAAATATGTTAACGAAACTTCCATTTTCTATTAGGAATATACCGATTTTATAGCAATCTATCTAACAGTGTTATTATCTGATGCTAGTGTCCTATATTTTATTATATATATTTATTAAAAATTGAAAAGAAACACCAATTTCAAAATTTTTGAATTAAAATTGTTAATATTAAATATGTTACCGAAACTTCCATTTTCTACTAGGAATATACCGATTTTATAGCAATCTATCTAATAGTGTTATTCTCTAATGCTAGTGTCTTATATTTTACCACGAACGTCCCAAAAAATTCCCCTAAATAAAAATAATACTAGCAACATCAACTTAATATATTACTCCCTTCCCAAAAAAATCTTCAAAAGAATCCAAACTCTTTTATCACCCTCAAATTAGCGCGAGAAACACTTTGCCTTCGCGAGTCCCTATTATTCCACCCCCGTTCCACCCCCGAATCTTTTTTTCCCCCGAAAGGCTTCAGCCGGAAGTTATTCCTCTTTTTCATCTCCATCCAGCGACTTCCGTTCCGTGGCGTGTGTGCATGGGGTCGCAGGGGGGGGGGGGGGGGGAAGAAAGAGAGAGACGCGATAAAGCCGGGCCGGAGCGGAGAATAGAAAGAAAATAGAGAACGGAAAGGGAGAAATATATAGGGAAAATGATCTATAGAACGCTGAGCAAAGTAGATCCCGATAACAAAGGACCGCGCGATAAGCCGACGGGATGAGATTGAACCCGCGGAGCAGAAGGAAAAAAGAATCTTTCGACCCCTGACCGTCGGGAATTTGTTACTCGGGACCCCGAATCGTTGAATTCGATTCGAGCCGTTGCGGCCATCGCGCGCGATTCCTTCACTTATAAATTTATTATTACCCCCGTTATCATCGCGCGCGACGGGTCTTATTACGTCGTAAATGACGAATTTTATCGATTATAGCTACCTATTATAGCGTTCCGTAAAATGGAGGGGTTGATATATTCGATGGGTACACGGGGACGTTTCAAAAATTTTGAGGTTAAGTATGGAAGATGGATATATATGTGTAACGTAGATTCGCTTTTATTAGAGGTTATGTACGAGGTGTTCTGTACATCCGCCATTTTATGCGGCAGGATGACGTAAATTACAGCTAGGAGATTGGTCAAAGGTGTCGGACGATGCGAATTGGAGTTTGTATTCTCGTCACAGGGTATTATATTGCAAATTAAAAGGTAAAAGGTCTGGTGTATATTGATCTTACAAAAGAATCTTTTTAAATCACTATGACCGAAAGATGATTGTATGAGAATATTCTTTTGACAGCTGTAGTCCAGTTAAATGAGACACCCTGTACATCAATTAAGACCCGATTCATTCATTTTTAGGCGTACGAAATTGAAAAGTGTAATACTCGGGTATAAAATTGGGAATATTTATCTTATCACGGATTGAGAACCACTGGTGCAATTTATTACATATACAGAGTGTCCTGTTTAAACAAATCGTCTAAATTTTTTCCACTTCGAAATATCCTCGAAAAACGTTTTCCTTACTATCATCAGGTATACTGACGACTGCAAACTATTTAAACACCCTATAGATATTTTTGTTCTATCTTCAATAATATCGGAAATTATTTAGATATTCGATTTAAATGAGGCACACTGTATAGTGCATTTATCTACGAGCAACGTACAAATCCTATGTCCATGCATCGAAAACGTATTCACTTTGGGGGGTGGCGTGTCGAAAGGGTTAACGATGGCCCGATGGACTGTTTGCGAAGGTATTCGAGAAGATGCACGCGGCGTGAAAAGCGATTCCGCATAGTTGCCCGGTGTCCTCGAACGGTTTAATTTTAGTGGGCGCGTAGAAAAACGATAAAAATACCGTGAAATCGCGGTTTCGCAAACCGGCGGCCGGTAAACAAGGTCCGTGTGTAGGTGCACGGAGGGGGGTGGGGGGAGGCGCAGCGTCGCGGTGCATCGTACCGTGACGCACCGTTTCGCGACCGATTGCACAGCGATGCGAGTTTCTGCAAGGCAAAAGGGGCGAGACCGCGATGGGTTCGGATTATCATCCGTGCCGCTTCGATTCTTACAGATTTCAATTACGAATCATCGATTCCCGGCGCCACGAGCTACGCGTTACTGCGAAGCGAAACGCAACGCTGAGTTATAGTGTCGCGAGCCGCCGCGCGGGGATCAGTGGCGCCACGAGTCGCGGCGCTCTCAATCACGCTGCGCCCGATCCGTCGCGTTGCGAGTCCAACTTTCCCATTCGAGATGTTCCGAATTACCCGTCTTCGCACTCGTAATGAGACGAATCACCGTCGCTATAATTCGTACGCCTCGAATTACGATAATGGAAACACATAACCTCTCCAACTCGAACATTTATAACGCCCGTGCTTCGAATTACCAAGTTTCCTACACGGGACGTTCTCAATTATAACACCATCGATTCGCAACGATGTGTACCGCGAAGCCTCCGATTTGATATTATAAATTCGTACATAACCTAAAAATTTAGAATTTATACCCGGAATTCCGAATCTCAATGCATCTTCAAACACGAAGCATTCTTTAAACCTCTAACTTCGCGACGAATCGGAAAAGAAATTGGTGCTAAATAAATCCTAACCTCTCAAAGAACGAATTCCAAAAGTGTCCAATTGATAAGCCATCGAGCAACAGCTTTCCCGATTTAAACTCTTTCCGATGGCAGCCCTTTAATTCGAAACGCTATCAATTATTCTGCCTCTCCCCGTTCCCGATCCATCGTTTGCCAATCAATCACATCTTCGACTCCGGTTCCTCGCCTCTCTCTCTCTCCGACCAGCGAATCCGAAATGGTCGCGCAGAACGATACGCGTCGCGACGTTCCGCGTCTGTCTATGCATCGCGGGCTGAAGAGAGACGGCAAGATAGAAATCCGTGCGGAACCGGGTGACAGCGTGCATCCACTAAAAATAAGGACGAACGTAGAGGTTTTGAAACTCACTGAAGCTAGCCGCTGGCTGAGCATGATCCGCGGCCGTGGCTGCGGACGGAGGGGTGTAGCTGCTGCAGTAGTACGGCGGGTGCTCTATTTTGATCGCGTTTATTTGAGGCTGCATGTCGCTGAGGTCATGCAGTATGGACGCTGAAACCAGACACACATTAGCGGTTACGGATCCTCGCGCGTTCGTACGTCATCCGCTCCTCCTCGTCGTCCTCCTCCCTAAGTCGTAGTCTTCGTCGTGGTCTTCGTCGTGTTTGTCTTCTTGCGGTCTCGATTCCCGAGGAAATCGCACTTCCGCGCGTTTTCCTTCGAGAACCTTCCCCCTACCTTGCCTCTCAGCCGGAGGAGGAATTTTCATCTCTCCCTCGCGGCGGTTACGTTCGATGCGAAACTCTAGGATCTCGCGAAACCAACATTTCCGATCTCCGACGTGTAACTCGTAAAACGTCCTATACCATGCATCGAACGAATCGCCGAGGAAGTTACCGTACCGTTTTGGGTTATCTAGGATATCGAATGATCGAGGGAAACGAAGTAAATTACCAAGCTCCATATGATCGAACTCGCTCCACTTCGACGATTTATCCAGTCCACGTGAGGGCAAAACGATCCCGTTTAATCCCTAGCAACATCCAACGACCAATCAAACCTTCCCACCGACGATTAATACCGCCAATTATCCATCGATTCCGCCCTAAATCGTGTTGCCGAGAAGTCGGGAGCGACGCGTAGCGGACGGAGACGGAGATAGAGAGTGCACACACGGTCGTCGTGGGCCGCGTAAACACAGCCGTGTTCCAAGGAGGGACGAACGTTGGGGTTTCGGGGGTGGGGTGGTGGAAGGGATGATGGTGGCGGTGGGATCGGTTAATTAATCGTGGTGCCGGCCATTAGAATACGCTCCAGTTACACGTTGCGCTGAATCAGCGCCACCGTAAAATAATAGGATTCCAGTTTGTCGCAGTTGGCGACGCGTAAATATAGGGATCTCCCCGTGGCACGACGGTCAACGACCAATTAGGTTGAGCTACTGCCGTAGAATTTGCATCTTGTGTAAGCGACCCGCTAGTAAAGCACTAACCGATTCCGCGACTGGTATCCGCAACATCTCCGATACATCCGCGGACTTTTTCGCCAATTCGCGATAGATTGCGTCACGCAGTAGCCTAACTCATCTGCCAGCTATGGAAACAGCGGAGGAAGTACCCTGGCTTTACACGGAGTTGGAACCGCGAGGCTGTCTCGCTGGGTAATTATTTAGGGAGAAGTCTAGGGACTTTCGGTGCGCAGGGATTACCAAGGTAACGGTAAGTTTTTACATTAGCGCGGGAAGTTGGTAGGTTGAGGGAGAATAAACTTCCCCTATCTCGATGCCTGTATGTTAATTCACGCGCGAGGATACCCCAGGCTGGTCTTTTTCAAGCAACAACTCCGTCGGTTGCGTAACGTCTTTGCATTAGTTCCTAAGGAATTAAAGGAATTTGCATAGAGAACCTGGACCCACCTTTCCGGCGAGAATTAGCGACTGAACAAGGCAAATACCATTCTAGAAGATCCCAATCACCCTAACTCCATACCCCTTCTCCATACATTTGCCCGGCGACCGTCCGAATTCCGCAACTAAAACCCACCCGGTCCCCCAGGGGCGGCGTGTTTCTATTATGCCCCGTCTTGCACGTCGTCCACCGTCACCACCGACAGGATATTCTTCTCTATTTCACATCAGCCGAGCTAGGCCTCCACCCCGCGGAAATTGCGCCCCTTTTTATCCACCGTACGTGTGCTGTGGCTCTCACATCGGCAGAGAAAAAAAAATCCCTGGAAAATACTGCCCCCCTGCGGGCCTACCATTTTCCCGCTCGAGACTCCTACACGTGTGTGCAGGCCTGTCTATGTGTGTCCGCGAGCGCGTGTGTGGCCGAGTGCATTGTTGACAAAAAACCAGTGACGTATCCGAGGGTTGGAAAAAAATTCGTGGAAAATCGCGCACGGCGTCGGGACACTGATTCACGGTCTTTTTTCTCTCCACCGTTGATTCACGTTTTTCCAACGGAACGCGGAGAGGACCTGGACCAGTTGGTGAACTTTGAAAAAATTCCTACGCCTGGCCAGCGGCGTCGGGGGGTGGGCATTGTCGGACGGTTAACCCCCCGTGGCGCGTCCTCGTCCGATGCGGTATTGAGATTGATGGGGAAACGATGATCGAGGGCTAGGTACGTTGGGGATGAAGCCACTGGGAGTCTTTCGCGCTTGCGAGAAGCGCGGAGCAGAGGGGGGACTGTGAAAGTGGCGCGTCTTTTGTTCACGCTGAAGAGTCTCTTCCGAGGATTTGCAGAGCACAGGAATCTCCGTTGCTTTTGGATTAGAAACATTTTCGTTGCTCTTGGAACGTCGTCTTTCAACCGGTTGGACTATCCCGAACCTAAAACAGTGTCTCGAATGAGAATAACTCTTGCAGCGAATGTATGACGAGCTGAAACGCTCTAACCAGGACCCCCAGCCTAACTTCTCATCCTTGAGAGTGACTCCAGGTGGGAAATTTCGAATAGGACCAAGTGGAGTCCCTTCTGATAGCTAGTCAGACCTAGAGGGACATTAGAAAAAGCCTTTCGATCGAGTTGCAAAGATCGGCAGAAGGGAGCTGGCTCATCCGGCGATAGAGGAGGACAGAGGGAGAGGCGAGAGAAAGAGAGCTGCGAGGCTCTCTCAGCAGCCTCTGAGGCCGTGAGCATTGTTCCCCGTCTATTAATACACCGGGTTGCATACTAATCTCCTGCCACGGTGACGCGAGGTGCGGCAGGGGGAGAGAGAGGGAGTGGCAAAAGGAGGAGGAAGAGGAGGAGGTGGAGGAGGATGGGGAGGAAGGGGCGAAGGAGGGAGGAAGAGTGCAGATGCATACGTCGAGGCGTTTCGAGGCTCGCGCCGCTTCTCAATACGCGCTCCCCTGCCCTATTATTCCATTTAGTAGCGGTGCACGCGTGCCACGTTGCTCCCTTCGACGTGGACCCCGATGAAAATGGATTTCGATGAACGGTGGATCGTTCTGCCCAACTGCCAATCGATAATCGTCTCATTTTCAGGCCAGGAGCAGTAACGTGCCTTGATCTTGCTTTCGTTCCAAACGAAAGGAATTCGTAGATAGCCTGCGAGTGTTTGAGAAAGTTTGAGGAACGTTTGAAGACGTTTGAAGACGTTTGAAGGGGGTTTGAAGTCGTTTGAAAGGCGCCGGGAGACCAAGATCGGGCTGTTCCAAGTGTTCGAAAGGGTTTGAGGATGTTTGAGGATGTTTGAGATGGTTTGACGAGTCCTATAGACGGCAGAGGCACAGGTGAAACTTGGCCGTGCGATTATCGGTGACTAATAGAGAAGGAACCGAGGGACTGGCACCTCGGTGGCTTCTGTATATGCTCGTGACGGAAATTGGCAGACAATGTCGGGCAATAACACTGGGTTCCGCTGCTCTATCGATGGGACGAGCTCCGAGTGCCATCAACAACCTTGACCGTCCGCCTATTCCTCTATTCTTTTCTCCGCTACTCTTCGCGAAAGAATTCGAAACAACCTTGAACGTTCATCGTCGTCGGCCCAATCGCGATACCCGTGTGGAGAGCAGAGGACTAGATTCTAAATTTACGTTTCCAGATTCGCAGCTCGCTGCAGAGGGTGGCAGTCATCGAACAAGTGGCGTTCGCCATGAGCACAATCCTTTTCTGATCGGATTACACTAACAGACCACTGTGCACGCCCGACACGGTACACACGCAACGCGTGCCAATCGTTCATCGGGTCCTTGATAGCGAAAGAGGAGTGAAGTGGTCTCAGGTATGTCGAAAGGATAACCGTCGAGTGGAATCGCGTTCCACGGCTAAGAATAAAGTTTCTAACGATAAATCGACATCGATAGAACGGATAACGACGTGCTCGATCACGAGAATCAGCCTCGAGAATGTATCGTGGAGCGAGTTTCTTCCTACTTCATCATCGGAGGATGCTTTCAAAAGGTTTCCCAGATATCGATTCGTTGATTACCTTTCGAAAGCATCCATAGGATTCTGTTTTCAGCTAATTCGACTTTTCTCATGTTCTTTTCAATGATTTTTCTTATTCACGTGAAAGAGATTACTACTGGAGACTTTCGATACCCTAGATCGGTGAACCGGTCCATGCAATAGATGATGAAGAGAGAGGATCTTACGTCTCGTACCTTTTGAAAGCATCCAGAGCTCCTTGGAGCTGAAGACACCTGTCGCTAGGATCGTGTCATTGCAGACAACACCGTTATATAGTTCGTGGTAGCCTGCACCTGGGAACAGAACCCAGCCGACCATGAGGCGTTGCTCGTTCGTTCAACTCTGATAATACTGACGCGCCAACTCGCGGGATACCAATGAAAAAAATCGTCGAGAGGGTTTTAGAGAAATTTATTCCTTTACCTTTTCGCCGCCTCTCTTCCTCCTTGCTCGCGTTGCAGATGCCGTTTAGGACCTCTGTAACAATCGAAGAGGATTTGCAAGTTAGTTTTCTTTCAGCCGATATCTCTTCGAGATCCGGGACAGTTTTTGGGCTATGTTTTCAAGCCAATATTCTTTTACATATTCCTGCCACTCGAAACTTTCCCTTTTACCTTCGCAAACATTCCTTGGTACCTTCGCTACGTCATTTTCAGCTCGCTAACACGTTCAGCACAGTACCTAGTCATTCGCTAGCTTTGTTATAACATAAAATCCTTGTCTAACATATGTACATAGTCTAGAACCTCATCACACGCTAAAACTGTACATTACACCTAGGTTCTTATAGCATAAAATCATCTCTGTTTCGAGTCATATGCATCATGCCATAAGGACATGTCCATATGCTTCTCTTTGCCCAGTTTGTTTCATGGGTATACCGAAAACTCTGTCAATTCTGACAATGACGTGTCAATAAAATTCTAGCCTTTACTAATTTCTTGGACTGTCTGACTAGTTATTCACCTAGTTTCCTCTGCAAAATCATCCCTGTGCGATTTTCGAAACCCGAAGTTGCGAAACCGTTTGACCCAGACGAATCGGGGAAGCTGGGATTCCCCGGACTCGGATTTCGGAGTACGGTACCCTCTCGGCATCCCATCTCACCTTCGCTGTCACACGGTGTTTTATATCGCGGGACCTTACGCAAATCTCATTACGCAACATATCACCGAAATACACGAGAGCCCGGAACGTGTGTTCGACTTCTCGAAAGAGACAGAGACAGATAGAAAGAGTATTCGCGCGTGTGTATGTGTGTGCGAGTATACGAGGCAGTTGGTGAGCCTGTGGTGGGAACGAAGAGAGATAGAGAGAGAAAGAGAGAGAGGAGAAGAAGATGGATTCCTTCTGCGCGGATGGAGATTCGGAAAAACGTTTCACAATCGTCGCGACACCCTCGATCAACTGCCCGACAACGCCGAAAAACCGACGAACGACCGCTTATAAATAGACGTTAACAAACATACGTTCACTCTCGGGTTATTTTTAATTACGAGTCAAGCTTATATCGGTGTCCACAGCGCCGAGATAAGCGATCGCTTTCCGATCGTGGAATCCGAGGGAGAAGAGTGATCGGCTGACGAGTGATCGAAGGGGATTGAAAATCGCAAGGATCCAAGGTTGACGAGGAAATATCGGAGATATTGCACGCTGTTGTTTTCGCAGCTCGCGGAATTTATCTGGTGAACACGGCTGACAAGACGCGCGATTTTAATGCGAGTCTATTTCGGTTTAGTCCAACCGAGTCGCATTAAAATCACATATTCCACAGAATCGAATCGTAAAATTCGCTAGCTTCTTCGAATATTTCATTTAGGCTGATACTCCATTTTCCACGAGAACCCGCAATGAACTGGAGTTTCCAGGATATTATTTCTAAAGGAATTTCCTCGAATTCTTATTAAGAAACCAAATCTGCAAGTATATACAGAAGGAAATTGTTATAATTGGATGGACGCCTTTGAACTTTTATTTTCTGATTTGAGGTTAGAAACAACGACCTGTGGGTTGTGTCAAGCGCCCTCAAAAATGGCAAATTATCTAAAGAAAGAATTATAATCGAATAAAGTTTCTTAAATATCGAATTATAATTCTTAAATGAGAATATTACAATACAGAATATTTCATTCAGTCTAACTTTAAGGAACTTGACTCCAGTCTAACCTCAAAGAAGTTAACTCTAGTCTAACCTCAAAGGAGAGATATTACAATGACAGAAATTTCGTGGAATTTCCATTTACGAGTTAACAATTGCGATTTACAATGTAGCATAACGTCGTGTCTGGTTTTACGAGCTGGTCGGTTTAGAAAACACGTTAACGAGGCAACGAGATCGTTTTGCCGAGAATCGGTTGCGACATCCAGTGGCTAACGGAGGATCCTCTAGAGGAGTAACAGCAAAATTAGTCGGCCAGTGGTCCGGTCGACAGGTGCGTGTGTGCGACGCAGAAATTTTAGCAGACACCGATAGATACGCTCGCTCTTGGAACAATAATAGAGAGCGGATCTGTTGACACCATGTGATCCATGAGTGCGCGAGAGGTTTCGCGGCGACGGCACGGGGACGCCGCCTCAAGGACGGCCATCTTACAGGCTTTTCCGAGAACCTTCTCGAAAACTCTGCACCGGAGAGTCGCACGGCGTACAACGTCGAATAAATCGTTCATACCTATCCGCTATAATTCTTTCGAAATTGAAGTTTTGGATTTTCAAAAGATTTTCAAAATTTATACCTCGAGTGAACCGAAAAGAAAACTGCACGTGAAAACTGCCACGAATACACGGAGATTACGGAAGATTTATTTATAATAACTCGAAGCATCTGCCGGGTGCAAATTATCTTCTGCGACTTTTTCTTCGACGATCTTGAATCTAAAACGAGAATTCAAAAAATGTCGGGTTAGACGAGAAACTGGGTAGAGTTTCCACTCTGTATCGATGTATATTCATAGGTGCACGTCGATAGCGATTACAACCATGCAGTATGAATATCTATAAACCCCCACCTTCGACTGACCATACTATACAAGGCGAGCTATCTAATCCACCTTTCCAAGAATTATTAAAAATAGCGACAGAATTTGTTACTGACGTCATAATACTCCACTGACTATAATAAATATTATCCTCACCGCTGACACCGCCGATCCCGCCTCCCCTCTGCTCGTCAAAATTATCCTTTTAGGATCGAAGACGTTTTCACGAGACGTTTTACAACTCGTCGGCTAGTTTCGAATTTTTCGTTACATAAATTTTTCACGAGAGAACGCAGTCGAGAAGGCAGAGGGGTACAGGATTAGTCGCAGGTACGAGAATATTTATTTCAGGTATTCGTAGAGGCACGAATGAAAATCAACATATAAGCGAGCACGGTGTTCGAAAGATAGAGGGAAAAGTCCGTCGCCTATTTATTTATAGAGCGAGCACACATCGGCACGCATGGTCACATGCTCGCGTGCACGGCACACCGACTTTGAAGCGTGTGTACGCGTGAAACGCGCGAGCGCGCGAGAGTACGCGTACTCGCACGCGTTTCCCTCGGGAACGGTCGAAAAATTCGGACGAACAGGCCGCGGGTTTATTCTGTACCCTGCTTATTTGTTAACGCGAAGACCGCTCTCATTGTTTGCAGAAATAATACGATGAAAGTACCGCGAGAGGATTGAGGAAATAAATTTGGAAAAAGAGCGATTCAGTCCGTTGAAATCCGGATTTAAAAGGTGTCGAGATGAGATTTACCGAGTACTCGCTCGCGTTCGATTCGTGCAATCGATCTATCGTGGAACTCGATTTTGCAGTAGTGCGAAATTCTCTGAAGCTTTGGACCTGACTCGAAATGGCCAATGATTGAAAAATTCTTCGTTCCTGGTAACCTGGTGCTCGTGTTTGTCCATCGTGGTTCGCTACCACCTACGGTTTTAACAAAATCCAGAACATAACCTCAAAGACCCACTACGAAAGTCTTAAAAGTTTCAAGTAAAATAAATAATAAAAAAAAAAATGAGGTATACCTAATGTCTTTGATGTAGATGCAATAAAAATTCTATTTAGGAGAAAACAGGGTTAATGACGAATCCACGTGGCGAAATCTGGTTGGTCGTCGTGGTAGAAACACGACGGAAGGTCTCCCGGTCTATTCCGGCTGTTGCCGGATTATCGAAGTCATACGGCGTGGCTTTTCCTGCCGACTTTTCGATGCGGCCCGTCTAAAACGGACCTCGCTTGCCGCAGTGGCATCGCGAAAATGCGACGTGTCCGAGAACGACACGCGTCGAGGCACCTGTCCTCTCTCTAACACTTTCATAAGAGACGATGATACTTACGCAACCGGCCGGCCGGGCGATATTTAGCTCTTAGGGCGAATACGTAGCGCCTCGACGACTAACCTCTTCTTTCCCTTCTTTAGCCTAAATACTACTTTTCTCTTCTAAATCTATCTTGGGAGAATCAACGGTTGCAACTTAACTGGAACGAGCACTCGTTAGTGCTGTCTGATCCAAGCTTTAGTTTCCATGTGCTCATTTTTGGACTCTTCTGTGTATAGAATAATAAATAACGGTGTTTGAAGCGTGATATTATCTTGTTTGAATTCGAAAATGAGAATGATCATTTAACACATTGTACGCCGGTTAAATTTCAGTTGATATGAGAAATGAATATTTGAAAGAAAATATATTAATGTCAAATAAAAAAAGAAACGATAACAAGTGTGTATAAGCGTACGTAACGTAACAATAGGATCAAGCTATACCGTAGTACAATGTGTTGAAACGAAAATGACTTTAGTAATTCGTTTATCTAACTTCCTATTCTACGGATAATTTGATCCTCGTGGTAATCAAGATCGACCTAATTAGAAATTCTTAATCACTTTCGGCCTTTCGAATCCAGCGACGATTCCGGTGTTCTATTCGAGGTTACTTTTAATCGTATCACATCCACCGTCGATAATCGTGCAGCATAACCTCACAACCACGTGGCTTAACCACTTCGCTAAAAGAAACCATTCCATCGTTCAGTCGGTAATGACAATGAAGGTTCGCAAGTGGAATTAAAATATTAGACAAACCTGGTTCCCATGCGTCTCGCTGTACTTCCCTTCTGTAATAGTACCGTCTATTAGGTCAGTCGAAACGAACGGAGCAAGTGTCTACTTTTAGCATACGTCGACGCGGCGGATAATCCGAAAGGGTCCGAAGTAGCGAAGCCTTCGCTATCCACGCCACGCCTTGGCAGCCAGCAAGTTTATATTATTGTGGTGGCGTGTATATTTACAGAGGGCCAGGAATTTTTATGATGTTGATCGTTCGTCGCCCGTGCACCGTCGACCGGCATTCTTCGACACTTCTACGCATGCGCGCTGCGACCATATACGTCCGATAGTTCATTTTCTTACCGTGAGAGAGTCGATCGTTGTCCCGTTAAATAACTACGCCGCGATTGGTCGAAACATTACAGGCATAGAGCAACGGAATTAATATAGATGGCAGACAATCGACCGCCGCTTCGATTTATCACGCGCTGCCTATTCGGAACGCGCGTTATTTATGTCGTACAATCGATGTTTCGAGTAAAAATCGAAATAGAATTTTTCACGTATAATACATGAGGAATATCGGCGAAAATTTTCTATAATGTACAGAGTACTTAAAAATTTGTGGAAATCCTTGGAAGGGAGACACGAATCGGTACAAATACGGGGACGAATTTTCGAATTTAAACGAGACCTTGAGCCTCCGAAAGTGGGACGCGGAGAGTAAAAAGCTAGACTACGAAGTCTTTCCCAGCGAATCCGCGGAAGTTGGGAAACTTTGAAATATGGCGATTCCAAACGAACGAATTTTCGCGTTTAAAGCGAGCAGCGCCTCGAGACTGTCTCGGACATTAATTGGGTCGCGAAGTTCGCAAAGCTCTTTGTGCTTGCAGCCTCGATACGAATAAATAACGGCGATTAAACTGATCTCGCCTGAATGAACTGGTTTTGCAACTTTTAGCAACTTCCCCGACAAAAGAAATTAATCGAAGAATAAACTGTGTAAAATCGCAAGATAAAGGAAAAAATCGTTTGACTTGCTAATTGGGTCGCTATTTCTATTCCCAACGTTGAAATTCCTACCCCATTCTCCACTGCCATCTAGATAAAATTGCATAGAGATTTCTACGATAATCGATCCCGAAGAAATCGACGAATGCACAGTCACAGACTTCTAAAATTCCTTACGTATATATAGAAACGTCAGATTAAGCTCTACTTTTAAGCATGCCGATCTCATTAATAGAACAAGCGACCCAGAAATCTCTGTGGGCCTAGATCACATTCTCATCGACACACAGATACAACCAACCATAAAACAAAACCTCTTTTCTGCGAGACACAATTTTTCCAGATACACCTAGTTTGACATAACCTAACATTCCCCACGACCTAACCTAGCATGGCGAACCAGTTACCTTCGAACACAATCGATGAAACTGTCCTATGGAACTCACTCGTTTGTCAGCACCATGGAAAATACGTGGCAGGACACGGAGAGAAATGAGGTTAGGTGGTCAGCACCGTTCCCGCCAGGGAGAGCGAGCAGACGATCGGAGATGGCGTCGGACGGTCTGGAGAGTGCCTAACCTACCCCATGTCTTGGCAGCCGTGCGTTTTTTTCTCTTTCTCGTAGGTGGTGCGCGGTAGGCCTGGCCAATTTTTGCGTCAACCGCGGCTGTAAACATTAGAAAGCCGGCTGCCAAGGCGTGTGTGCGCCACGGGTTCGTAGCCTGCGAGAAAGAAGGAGAGAGAGAGGAGAGGAGAGCAGCCAACGGAGCGTGTGCGAGCCACGGGGCGAGACCGGCCTCTGCCAGGACGCGCGCGTACGTACGTACGGAAATTACGTGTTTCCCGACTGAGTCAGTGAGTTCGATGAAACCGAATGAAAGAAGAAGCGCGGTCGGGCGCCAGTCCCGGCCCTCCTGCCAGCTGATCGATCGAAACACGTCGATCAACGGGCCACGTGTGCGCCTTGTTTTCTTCGTTTCTTTGTTTCGGGATGAACCGACCGTGCGGTCGCCCGCTCGATGTCGGCCATGCCAGAGTCGAGGGTTCGAGAAATTTTGGGGGCTTGGAAAACTCGGAAAATGGCGGGGATTTTTAATATTCTCGAAATTTTTCGGGTGACGAAGCGGGATTTTAGGGGTGATGTAGGTAGACTTTAAGGGTCTTGGTGACTGTAGGGGGTGAGAGAGGGTTTTAGAGTTTGAAGACAAAGGGACTTTGATAAACCTGGTCAGAAGATTGGAGATTCGAGAAATTTCGAGAATTCGGAAAATTTTTAGGATTTGACAAATTTTTAACTAGAGTAGAGACTTCTGAAAATTTTGAGATCACAGAATTTAATAGAATTTTTGGAATTTTGGAACCGAACGAGTTTCCAGGGATTAAATGTACTCAATGGCTAAGAAATATTAGAGAGGTTAGAAAATTGCTCGAATTCAGAAGCCTGAAGATTAGACATCCTTCGGTTATACATCCTACCCCAATTTCCAGAGAATCCTAAGATCAACCTAACCTAATCTAATAAAAAATTCTTCCGATCTCGAACTATTTGAGAACTAAAAAATTTTCTCGGTTTCCAAATTTCAAAATTCAGAGCTGTCAACAACTTTTCAATCTCCAAAAAATATCCAAACCTCCAAGATTCCTTTCTGTACCCCAACCCCGTCCAGTACTCTTGTAGTAGTACCTCTAACCTAACCTAACCCCTATCCCAAACGCCCCATCAGACTACCCCAGAGCTTGATCTCATCCCAACACCTTCCATCAGCCAGAACCTTCCGAATCTTCCAAGCATCCACCATCTTCGGTCCATTTCTCCCAGGTCTACGATCACATTCATCGTAGAATCCGCTCTAGAATCCGCGAAGAGGGGTTAGGGTGATCGGGTTAAATTCACCGGCTCATGGAACGCGAAACGATCGGATGCCTTTGGACGGTGGACAAGATCGACTATTCTTGAAGACCGATCCTTGGAGCGGTGGCGAAAGTCTGCCAATCGGATTCGTTATACATCAGCCAGCTCTCCCTACGGGTCTTTGTCCCCGCACGCCGGTTGGAAAACGAGCCAGCGTGGAATGGGCTCGCGCGCGACACCGGGCCCGCGCCATGAAAACAGCAGCCCCGTTGTATGGGGGCCGGTGAAATTGGCAGAGCGTTCCAAGAAACTTTGAATCGAAGCCGAGTCGAGTGGACACTTTGAATGGACGGATGTGCGAGTGAATGAACGCGCCACGCTCGATTCAGACCGCCACCCGCCTCTCCCTCTCTACTCCTCTGGGTCTTTACGAGATCAACCGTGAACCGCCACCGAGCCAATGCTTCCTGGTGGAACAGGAGCAACGTAGACAAGTGGTGATCGGGTGGATCTTCGATGGGATTGGTTAGAGATAAGTCGATTACCAAGTGGATCGGAAGTTGCTCGGGTCTAGGAGTACTTCTGCGAGTCAGGTCAATCGCCAATCAGACGTGTCTTTTGGAATCATAGTCTAGACAATCTGGGATAGAAGCAATCTCAGAAGCTGAGTGTTTGACGACTGGCTAGATGGTAAACTAGTGTGATACCTCATTCTTGGAATCCACCTAAATGAACAATAGGTCTTTTCATGGCTAGTCTATGAGTCCGATCAATTGCCAATCAGACGTGTCTTTTGGAATCACAGTCTACACAATCTGGGATAGAAGCAATCTCAGAAGCTGAGTGTTTGACGACTGGCTAGATAGGAAACTAGTGTCATACCTCATTCTTGAAGACCACCTAAATGGACAATAGGTCTCCTGAGGGCTAACCTATGAGTCAGGTCAATCGCTAATCAGACGTGTCTTTTGGAATCACAGTCTAGGTAATTTGGGAAGCTGAGTGTTTGACAACTGACTAGATGGCAAGCTACTGTGATACCTCATTCTTGGAGTCCACCTAAATGAACAATAGGTCTTTTGATGGCTAGCCTATGAGCCAGGTCAATCGCTAATCAGACATGTCTCTTGGAATCACAGTGTAGACAATTTGGGATAGAGGCAATTTGGGAAGCTGAGAAACGCGTTTGACGAGTGGCTAGATGGGAAGCTGCGTCGCGTGATACCTCATTCTTGGAGTCCACCTAAATGAACAACGGCCAACTGGTACAGTGTCAAACGACTTAGCGAAAGTATCGAGAGACAGACACTCGGGCGATAAGACATGATTCATTCGTGTCTAAATCTGCCGCCGAGTAACCTGTTAAATCGTCACGATTGATTCACCGGTGAGGAACGAGGACGGGAAGGAGTCGGACAGCGATACGAGTTAGGGGCCGCGTGAATTGTAGGCGAATAAATTCCGCTGTTGGAAACTCCCACGCGATCGGGAGTCTCCTTTTAATCGAACGGCCATCGCGGTGATCCCTTACCGTGGCTGGTGATAAAATTGGCGAGGTAGAGATCGAGTTCCCGGACGGAGACGTTGATGTGATAGGGGTTGACGCAAAGGCCCGGCTGAGCACATTCCGCAGTCTTCTCCAGCCGTTCCCCGTCCGTCGACTCCAACGGAATTGCCTTGAAGAGGATCACCATTACTAGGTCCAACCTCCATACCTGCGACATAACGATAGGGACCGGGGTTATTGCCTGTGCCCCGATGCTGGGCTAGCTTTGGGTTAGGTGCTGGGACACCACTCGGGACCAGTCTCCATTTCCTATGGTCCACGGTGGTTTCCGACTTCCTCTGAGAATTTCACGCGGTATCGACTCATGGAAATTGCTTCCGATTTCATGATACCATATTTCACTACCCTTCACTTTTATTTTCTTAATTTTCTTTTTTCTGTTTTTAAGGAGGATTCAATTTTTGGATTTCGGATGAAAGTATACGTGGGGTGTGCAAATGTGACGAAATTTGGTTTAAAAATTAATTTGGAGTACTTATTAGATGAATAATACCTGGTAATTTGAGTAGGGTTAATTATGGGGTTAATTATGGATCAATATTAGGGGTGTGAATCTAATTATAATTAATTTTCCAACCCTTTCACGAGAATTTAATCGCGCATACGATATGACATAGCAAGGAGAAAATTGCAGAATTGTATCAATAAAATTGAAAGACATACGATATTAACGTTTGTTGGAGATATGGGTCGTGGTGGCGCTAGTGAGTTAAATGAAAAATGCTGAAAGGGTTAATTTATCCAAAAGTGGAATTCTAAATACCTGTCCACGAAATATGAGCTACTTATCTGTATCTATAGACTAATTCCCCAAAATTTATTATTGCTATAACCAATAAATACTAACATCAAAGGGTCCCTTATTTAAATACTAACCTAATCGAAGGGTCTTTAATTTAAATATGAACCTGATTATGTGAACCAATTTATTTTCGTACTGTCATTTCTGATTATTATTGTATATGTAATTACATCACTGGGCAGTAGTACTAGTGTTAAATGATACCCAGAGCGAATTGGAGGCAAGGGAGCACGGGTAAGTAGATTAGGAAGGCAATAGTCAGACGTACCTTATCGGCTTGACGCAGGCAGTCGATACGACGCATTTTACCCTTCTGGTCAGGATTACTCAGGACGCACATGGCTGGCCTCTTCCCCGTGATACTCAGTACGAAGTCCTCTCTGTACTCCTGCGTGATATCCTTTCGTAACTTGCCTAAAAGCCGCGAGGCCCATTTCTGTTTCACCTCCAGCTTCTCGTTCTGCAACACAAAAATTCATCCCCAATTAAATATACCGTTCAATACATTTTCCTCAAATTTACATCAACTAATAACCCCTTGGATTTCAATTTAATTACGAAAAATTATACACTGAAGTAGTACTTGGTTTTTATTATCCACGTGTTAAGAAATATAATATTAGCAAAGCTTATGATCTCGAAATTTAACATGAAGAATTCCTGAGGAGTTAGACTCATGATTATAGTGCAAGGGGTTATTTAAATCATCAAACTTCCAATTTCATGACACTTGATCTCAAATTTCCTAATTTTAACACTTTCTAAAAAATTCCTAAATTTTCTCTCGCCTCATTGATATTGAAATTATTGAAACAATCGAAATGACCGGGTTTCGGAGTATTTATTCCTATAATTACTAAAACTTGACTCGCAATCCATATATTAACCCTTTGCACTCGAGAAGCGCCTTTCAGTCGCCATTTGATAAAATTTCGAAGCTCGATATTAATTAATATATCAAATTTAAAATACTGTAAGTGTGTGAGATATGGAAATTAAATAATTCTACGTGTTAATTATTATACGATTTCTTGTTTACTTCTCAAAAAATATCATCACTCTTATAGCAGAAAATTTTTCAACTCGTTAGCAAAAAAATCGTCGAGCACAAAGGGTTAATTCGCCTTCTCACCATAACCTCAAAATTACTGTCATCTATGTAGACTAAGTTTGAGTGTGCATTAAAGACGAATTCTCTAAGGCAAAAATTAAAATTCCATCTTGAAATCAGGCGAATCTCGAAGTCCAGTTTAGGCGTACCAAAGAGTAGGAAGAAGTTGGTAGGAAAAATAGAGAGAGGATATGAAATCGTCACTCCACTTGCGTTTCACAAAGCAGAGGAGAGCCAACTGTCCAAGAGTCAACTGTCGTTTGAACTCTTGGCGAACTCGCCCTCTGCCTCTCTCGGTGTCCACGAGGAGGAAGAGGAGGTTCTGCTACGGCACGCATCGTCGTAAACTGGTTACAGAAACCATATTCCACGGAAGAAGTTCCCCGTGTATATCGATGCGTCGCGGCAGCTGTTGATCTGGAAAGTTCCGCCAGTTTACAAACTCCGTCCGATGGCTCGGGACCAAAGCAACGCTGACCTCAAACTATTCGTCGGCACGATATGCGGGATCACGTCCCCATGCATCCCCTCCGTCCCTACCCTTCTGATATCTTGACCTTCCCCGAGTTCCACGCGCACCTTCGTCCTCGTCCTTCGCCATTTTAATTTGCCATTTTTCGCGATGCAGTGATGAAGAGGGGAGATTTTATTGACAGGATTCTGAATTTTCTGGGAAGCTGGGATGTCTTTTGGAATCTTTTAGGTTAGGTTGGTGGACTTGGGTAATACTTGGCCTGAGCTAGGTATTTAATTCTCTATAATAATTTCCAGATGTTATGGGTACAGAGAGTTTATGATTGGGAATTTTTGGTAATGGTGATGGAGTAGAAACAGAGTGGGGAGAGAAGAGATTTTATTGACAGGCTTCTGAATTTTGGGGGGAATTATTTAATTTTCTACAATAATATGTCACTAATTGTTATTACAGCTATTATAATAATTATAGAATTTTTAATATAGAACTTTTGTTGGAGACAGAGCGATGATGATAATGATGACAATGAAGAGGAGAAGGTTAATTTTATTGACAGAATTCTAAACCTCTTGAAAGACGGATTTTCTTTAATTATTCGAGTGGACTGTACTGATATTTTATTTGGATTTATCTAAATTTATCTAACCATTTGTCACCCATGTCACTTAGAAATTATAGGGTGTCCTATAAGTTTCCTGTGTCTGTCGAATACCTGCATGGATTATTATAGCAATACTGAATGATTTATTTAATAATTATTGGTCTTCCCCAGCTCTAAAAAATTCCAGTTGTAGGATAAAAACTGATAAGAATTTTTAAAGCATTGCATAATTTCCTACGTCCTATATAATATTTAACGAAGTTCTAAATTCTAATATTAGTCTTCTCTTAACGATAACAGTCTGTTCTTTCACCACTTTAGCCAACCTGAACTCACTTCGATCAGCACCTATCCTGTAAACAACTCTTAACGACGAAGTATACCGAACCTAACCTAAATCTAACGTAAACTCCTATCAAGACCCCAAACCTGACCACCAACCTAGGCTTCTGGCGTGCAAAATCTCCAAATTCTCAGAGACCACCCAACCTGACCACCTTAAGCCAAACACTGTGCATCAGCATTCCTTCTCATGCATGCAACGAAAATTCCACGAAAAACTTTCTCTCTCCTTCTCCTATAGCACCTCTACCTTTTAATGGAAGGAGTATTAACTTCTAAACGACTGTCAACAACGAACCATAACCTCTAAATTTTATGTAGACGCCTATCAAAGGCAACCAATCTAGACTTCGAAATTCCCAGGGATCATCTTAGCCCATAAAGTGTCCATCTCCATTTAAGCAACTTGGTCCAAGGATAAAACTGCATGCAAAGAGCTGAGTTCTGAGTATTCTGTGCTTCGAGTACCCCTTATTCTCTGACAAGACGAGTAATACCTAAAATACCAAGATAAATCTCAAAACAAAGCACACAAACCACCTCAGTCCAAAGATGCACATCCCTGCAATGGATTGTGCATCTTCATTTAAGTAATTTGATCCAAGAATCGATGAAGATTCCATACATGGTACCATTTGTCAGAACAGTTCCAATCCTCGCCCAAAACAGATGACACCTAGTCAGTCCAAAGATTCACAACCTTGCAATGTAGTGTGCATCTTCATTTAAGCAATTTGATCCAAGAATCGATGAAGATTCCAGAAACGGATGACACCTAGACCACCTAAACACCTCTAAACTCTGTCTAGACTTCTACCAAAGATCCAACCAAAGATAAATTCCAACCAGATACGAAATTTCCAGAGGCAATCAGTCCGCTTTGGTCGAAACACTTGGAACAAACCTTCTGGAAGTTCATCTCCATTTAAGCAACTTGATCCAAGACTCGATTAAAATTCCACGCAAAGCTGTGTCTCCTCTTGCTCTTGGAATAGTTGTTGTCCTCTGACAAAACGAGTAGTACTCAAAGCAGCAACGAGCTAAACTCTAGCTAGACTCGTAACAAAGATCGTGAATCTAAACTCGAACGTTCGAAATCTTGAACGAGGAAGGAAGTTTCCAGAGGCAAGCAGACCTGACCGCCTTAATCCAAACACTCCTCGTCGAAGTTCCTCTTCATTCAAGCAACTCCATCGGAGAAGCGACTAAAATTCCGCGCAAGGCACACTCTCTCTCTCTGCGTCCCTCTCGCGGCGTATGTCGAATAAAATTCCAAGCAGCGCGTACGCCTAGGGCAGGCTCGTTTTTCAGTCACCGTGGAAATCTGCGAACGAAGTTGGTCGCGTCGCCTCGCTCGCAGCCGGGCATCGCGCGTCGACCTGCTCGGCTCCATTTCTGTTATTCACCTCACGGCCGCGGCCCCCGGTGGAATAGCAAATGCGCGCGGGTGCATAAGGTCCCTGAGAAATGCGTCGAAAGCGCGCGGAATGCATCGACGCGGCGACGTCGATCTATCCCGCCTAGCCCCTTTCTGCCACGCACGTGCGAGCCCCGATACTTTTGCGAGGAACGAGAAAACCGCTGCCGCGTTGCTGCGCGTCCCAACGCCGTGGAAACGCGCCTCGACGTCCATCGCCTCGATTCCAGGACCTCGACCCAAGAGATTTCCCTCACAGAGACCCTGCTCTTCCAGCGAAAGGAAGATTCCGTCAGAGATTGCGTTTCAGGAATTGCTACTATACGGCCCGACCGAGGGTTGTTTCTTGAGTACCTGTTTACTCAATTGCGTGGGAGAGGTCGGGTTCAGGTGATTGACAATTGGCCATTCGGTCATTACAAGATTGGGCTTAGGTCTAGTTTTCATTTTGAAGTCTGAACATAAATTTAGTTCCGGGAGAATGACACAAGTCTGAGGTTAGGATTTGAATTCGAGGTTAGGTTTTGTCCTAACTTTGAATTCCTGACTGAGGATAGCTTCAGTTCGGATATTTCGACATAAGTCTGAGGTTAGGTTTAATTCTAAGGTTAAGATTTGAATTTGAGGTTAGGTTTCGTCCTAACTTTGAATTCCTGACTGAGGATAGGTTTTGTTCTGGTATTTGGACATAAGTTTGAGGTTAGGTTTAATCCTAAGGTTAGGATTTGAATTTGGAATTAGATTTTGTCCTAACTTTGATTTCGTAACTGAGAATAGCTTTAGTTCTGGTATTTGGGCATAAGTTTGAGGTTAGGTTTAATTCTGAGTTTGGATTTAAATCTAAGGATAGGTTTCGTCCTAACTTTGGATTCCAGATTGAGGTTAGGTTCAGTCCGAAATCGAACTTGCGTCCGAGATAGGTTTAGTTGTAGGTTAGGATTTGAATCTGAGGTTAGGTTTCGTCCTAACTTTGGATCAGAGACTTAAGTTCCGTCCTAACTTTGGATTCCAGACTGAGGTTAGGTTTAGTTCGGAGTTAAAGTTGAGTCTGACTTAGGATTGGAATCTGAGATTAGGTTTCGTCCTATCTTTGAATTCGAGCTTGAGGTTAGGTTCAGTTCGAAGTTGAACTTGAGTCCCAGTTAATTGTAGGTTAGGACTTGAATTTGAGGTTAGGTTTCGTGCTATCTTTGGATTCGAGACTGAAATAAGGTTCAGTTAAATCTCAGTAAGTTTTAATCTCTTTAATTTGGTTTTATACTTGTCTTGAGATCAAAAGAAGCTCAAAGATCTTGAAATTAACGCAACTCTACTATTAAGCAGAATATCCAAAGAAATAAACGCGCCAGTTCTAACCTCCTTGATTCCCCCTAGTCCGATAATGACCCGAAACTTGCACTCTCACCTCTGCCATCCCTAATCCTCCCCAGTTGAAATCCTTCGAGTCCCACGAAATCCGCAAATCTCGAGGTACCCAACGACCCGGACTCTTCATCGAAACCCAAACCACCGAC